ATTAGAATCTCCAATGCGCGTAATTTGCCCACTGCAACTTCGTCGCGACAACTTTCTATCGAAAGTTACCTTGCAACTTTCAACTTTCAATATTTTCATCCAATGAAACAGATCACAATCAAGATCTATTTTATTTGTATGTCGAAGGGTTGGTACGAAAGTGAATTCGTAAAGAAAAAGCAGCCATTAATATTACGCGTTTAAAAAACGATTATTCCCCACAGCGCCGTGTGTCTCGAAAAAAGTCGTAAAGAGGAGCAATTTCTTATCGCAAGCAATTACTTTCGTTAGGAAGTTTGACAGGTTCTTGCTGGTTAATTTTCACACACGGGCATACTCTTCGCTTAATTACGGAGAAATATCGTCGAGATATCGCGGTGTGGAATTAATACGCGACCTGCGAAACGATTCGAAGATCAGGTTGTCCTAATCGCGTGGAGCAGCGGAGGACAAGTTGGGCAACATCACTGGCCAGGGAAGCTTGAGAAAATCACGTTCATGCAAATTCAGAGACACCTTTGGAGATCATTACGCTGAAACTGCTCGGCGCTTCTCGGGCGCATTAGCGCGGATTGGTCCAGCTCTCGAGCCGTTAAAAGCATGGTGAATAAATTACGCGTGCAATATCCAATCTTCCCCGAGCCGGAGTAATTGCAATCTCCTTCGACACGAATCGCGTAAATATGTCTCGCCGACAGGATTGAAGAAGAAAGAAAAAAAAAAGAGAGAGAAAAAAAAAAGAGAAGCTAGATACGTGCCACTTTCGGTCTGCAATAAAAGTCAACGCGAATGGATTGAAAAGGCGATGAAGAATCCGTCTTCAAATTACGATTGATTCGAGTAATAAGCAAAATATAATGGATCACAATGGATTACATTCAAGGAAGTAGAACTCGAACAAATTTATTTCACAGTGAATCTTGTTATTCGGATATTTCGTAGAATTCTCAACGTTCAATTACATAATTTCTTGCAAATTACAGCTCTAAACCTGTATCGATGTCTACGTAGCAACTTTTTACTTCGATCAGATCGAGATTTCAGCTTTTACAAAAGGAACTCGACGGTTCATTCATCGTTCGCTTTGACATGTAATCTATCTTTCTACAAAGAAACAATCGAGAAAAGTCTAGTCGTGTTTGAATAAATCTCAAATAATTTCTAACAAAATGACACTCTCAGCTTCTAAATTCTACGTGGCTACACATCTGTGAAATTAACCACTTTATATGTAACAACCTTACTCCGTCGATTTTTAATGCTGCAAACTGTCGCGCGAAATTTATGTACACTGCCTGTGGGACACGGAATGTGAAATTTTTATGAAATATTACATAAAGATATAAAGACGCAATAAAGCACTATTTTTGCACTTTATAATATTATCCAGTTATTCATGTCACGTAAAAACTTTTTATCAATAATATTATCAATTTTATCAATAAATTTATAATATTTATATATATAAGCAGGATATAAGTAGAAACGTTGATCACTGGTGAACTACTGTTTTAATCAACGTTTAACTGAAAACTATCCCAAGAGGATAGATAGATTATTGTATTGTATAATTTCATTTACATCATAAAATCTTACAACATTTATATTTTATTCGTATCGATAAGTGCTTGAGCCTCTTTAAATTTCACAAGATTGTACAATGTAGGTGACAGACACAACGACAAAAAAAAAGTATCAATCGAATCCATGGAATTCCCTTTCATAGCCTCAGTGTTACAAATAATGGAACATTGACCGGACAAATTACATCGAAAAGAATTACAGACGCAGCGATTTCAAATTTTCGGTTCGTTCGACGAAATTCAGAGTTCGACTGAATTCAGGATAAAATCATCGGTTTGGCGTTATCACTTACGAAGAGTGATCTAGCACCGTTACCAATAGCTTCCTAACAGTGCGCAACGCCACGAGGAGAAACTTGTTTGTCACGTAGTTCTCGTTTCTCTGGATATATTAACAGCGTTCTGAGCCACACTTCAAGGCTTCAAGGAAATCGCGTTTCTCGCCGATATTACGCGCCAGGTGATAAAACTTCCTGCTCGTACGCGCGCGTGGCCTCTTTCGAATTTACCCCGCGTTACGGACAGCCAACTGTCCAACCTTCGCACACGTGAATTAATTATAGCGCGCAGACTTTCTCCGATTTCGTGCGTTGCTCGTTATTTTCGACGGATCGACAACCCCCGTATCATTGGCCGTAATTGGACAGCGCGAGGTCCCTTAACGAAACACGCTGTTCCGTTTCACGTTCGGAGCGGAATGTTTACCCAAGTGTGCGTTTATTCAAACGCGCTACTACCTTTCACTCCACATTTTCGAACAAAC